CACACACACACACACACACACACACAAACACAATTCTCTTCCTTCCTTCTATAGCTCTGACCCCCTACTGCCTCTGTTCCTCTGACAACCTGCACTTCCTCTATTAATAATTTTTCTCTCCGTTTCCCTTTTTACAATGTTTTCACCATAGGCTTAGACCTTCTCCTATTTCCATTCTTTTTCAATAAGCCTAAACACAGATTCATGGTTGTTTAATACTTCGGTCTCACTAATATATACCCCTCCTATTGTAAATACAGTTTTTGGTACCAAACCAGGTGTCATTTCAACCACAAAGTTTGAATGTTCTCCCTGTGCTTGCGTGGGTTTCCTCCAGGTACTCCAGTTTCCTTCCACACTCCAAAGACATGCTGGTAGGTTAATTAGCTCCTCTCTAAGTTGGCCCTCTATGTATGCATGTGAGATAGGGACCTTAGATTGTAAGCTCCTTGAGGGTAGGGACTGAAGTGAATGTGCAACTATGTAAAGTGCTGCGTAAATTGTCGGCGCTATATAAATACCTGTAATTATAATAATTATTATTATTATAAAAGCCGTTGACTTTTTAACATAGGAAGCCCTTAAATTATAATTTAAGGGCTTCCTATGTTAAAAAGTCAACGGCTCTCATTTCAAATCTACCATACATATCCATTCTCTTACCCTCGGTGGATGTGGTAAAAGCCAATTTTGTGCAATTAGTTTCCTAGCAAGGAAATGTGTTCTGCTAGCCCCCAGTCTCAAATTTCCCGGCCCCTTGAAATATCTAGGTGTCTAAAAATGCACATGCAAAGGTTGCATACAAGATTTGTTTCAGAAAACCATTAATATGTTGCACAACATCTTTCACTATCATACTAACTTAGAACACCTCTAGATCAAATGAAACAATCCTCACCATATCTTCTATTACTGGTATCTTGTAGTGTATCATACAAGTTATTTTCCCCAGTGAGCTTTTTGCATGATGTATTTGCATATACTGGTATAACATTGCTTAGGTATTGGAAATTCTTCCTGTAACTGTTGAAATGACTTTGCAGAATTAAAATCCTAATTCATAAATTGAAAAAATACCCCGCAAGGGATAAATTCTTTAAATTCTGCCAACTGATATGGGGGATGAGTCTCCTTTCCCCAACTGCCAAATTGTTGCATTTCCGCAGCTAAGTAATATAGCCAGGGGTTTGTGGTAGCTATGCCTCCCTCATCAATTGCCTGTTGTATCGTTGCAATGTGCAGCCCAGACATTTTTTCCCCCTATGTAATACATATAATAACTGAGGCATCTAGATCACCCTTTAGGCCTGGTTCACACTGAGCGTTTTGTTGCCTTTTTTCTGCCCTAAAAAACGCTAAAAATGTACGCCCCGAAAAAATCCCATTCATTTTTATGGCCCTGTTCAATAAGCAAAATGCCTGCAGCTGCAAAAAGTACATGAGCTTTTTTTGGCATATTACAGCTTGTTTTGGCCCCACAGACTTAATAGGAAATGCTTGAAAATGTGCATTTGCTGTGTTTTTGCGCGTTTGCGCGCATTTTACGCATGTTTGCTTATTAACATCAATGAGCTACAATCATGCAAAAAACACGCAAAAATGTGCATCAAAAACACGCGTAGAAATGTGCAGAAATGCTGTTGCCTAGGTGTTGCCTAAAATTGGTGGAGAAAAGATTTAAACACAAGGGGCTTCTTTTCAGTAAGAGGGGTTAGGGTCTGGAACTCTCTGCCACAAGCAGTGGTATCAGCTGAGAGTGTTGAATCATTCAAAATGCATTTGTACAATTTCCTCAGAGACTGTAACATACTGGGGTACAGGTACCCTTAAAAAACAAGATCACACGGGCACTAATACACGCATACTCATGCAGAATCAAAAACATAATCGCAATAGGTTGAACTTGATGGACCTGTGTCTTTATCCAACCTCATATACTATGTAACTATGTGTGAACCCAGCCATATAAGGTTAGATATATCAGAAATAGGTAGTTAGCAAGAAAGTTTACACCACAAGTTCTACTGTGTACAAAATTTAGAAAAATGTGGATCCACATTTAGTGAAATGTATACCTAGGGAATGGAAGACATTATAATACCTAAATATTGAGGAGCTCATTTACACCAGGTGCATTGATCAATATTCATCAACTCAGGATAAACACAAGAGCCCATAAAAAAACAATTGTTTTCTTTGTGCCCTGTTCCCTAGACATGTGATTTGATTTATTCCGAATTAAAATTACATCTGAATTTCTGAATGAAAAAATAACGAAACCGAACATATCCGATTTTTTGATAACGAAAATTTTTGGTATGCATCCAAATTTTTTTCCGAATGTCATTCGGAGTGAACTTTTGTTGTTAAACATCAAAGTAAAGTTGATACCAGACCTCGACACACACACAAGTCTGGTAAGGAATTTTTGTTCTTGGCGTTGTGGTCCCCCATAAAATTCCTAGACCTAAAGGGTCTGGTATAAATTGGGGGTAACACACACTTTTTTATATTGTTTCTGTGGACTGTTAAAAAAATGTGAAATACGAAGTTAACTAAAATTTGGGATTTGTTTGAATCCGAATCACTAACTGAATTGACTTTCGGACCCGACTCCTGAAAAATTAAATAACGAAAAATCCGAAACAAAACAAAGTGAATTTTTTGCCCGCACACATGTCTACCGTTAATGCCATATTGCTGCATTGAGGTGCTGCACTTTTCTGTAGCATAATGCACATTACTGCATGTCACCACACTGCAGCTTGTCACAACATGCTGCAGCGCATAGATTTGAATAAAATCAAAGTTTGTGAAAATTTCAATAAAGTAAAAAAAAGAAAAAGGTTACAACGTATCGCACCACCTTTCACAATGCACATCCACATGAAACATAACATGTGCAGGCTGGTGTGAATCAGCCCTTAAAGAAGTGACAATCTTAATGGAAGTGGAAGAGTTTTGTAAAGAACCTTTTAAATCATCAAAGGGTAGAAATACAGACTTACTCCAATTAATAAGTGACCCTGCAAAATGATGGAAATTATAGTCATAGCAGATCTCTAAGGAATGACCAGTTTTTCAAAAAAACAAAAGAACATCCTTTGCATATAACGCTTTTATGTCTTCCACAGAGCCTTGTTTGAACCCATTAATATCTGATGAATATCTGATCATAGCTGCCATTGGTTCACACTGCTGATCCCTTGCGTACAAAAACTTTGTTCTGTCAGCAGAGACAGAGACACTCCATCCACACTGCTCCACTGAAGGGTTTCTCCCACTACTGGGGCTTAATTAAAGGGGTGCAATTGATTAAGCCTCAGTATTGAGTGAAAACTGAAAACCAATGGAGCGGGGGACAGAAGTGAAGTGTCTCTAAAAACAGAATAAGGTTTTTCATGCAAGGGATCAGCGGTTGCTGGACAAATTCTACATACATTTTAACCATTACTATTTAGGTGCATTTGTTTGGGTGCATCACTCTGTCCAAGAGATATGGGAGGATGGAGCACTTTGAGTTATTACACTATTTTTTTAAATCCCCTAATAGAAATGTGAATGTTTAGGCTAGGCGATTAATATCTAGTTTAAAAAAGTCTACAATAAAAGGTTTTTCCATGGGTGATATAGGGCAAACACTTGTGGTTTTGTTTAGAATACATAATATCTGTTCTGGGAGGAATTGAATGGCCAACTATTTCGCAATAAACCATCACACTACCCTCACGAGTTAAGGAAGTGTTACTTTGAAATAACCATCAGACGGAAGCTTTTCTTATCTCGACAGCTATCGGCAATATTTCTTCTTCTTCCTGAGGGATGTGAGTATATTTTTTATTATTTATTTATTTATTGTTAAAGTATTCTTCTGCTAATGATTATCAGACATTAAGAAGATGTTAATCTAAAAAAAATGTAATTGCCAAGTGTGTTAATAAATGCCAGAACATCTTTAGTTTATAATTGTGGCAGTACACAGAGGAGAATGGTCATTTATTAGGAAAGGCTATCTAAAAGGATATGTGTACATTTAACACTATATTATACTGTTATAACACAGTTATACTGTAATAATATACTGTGTACTAGACATGTAAAGGCTCAAGAAATTTGTTTCATTTCAGATTGCTGAAAATTTATTTTCAGATTTCTGATCTGAAATTCGATTTATTATTTGGAAATGGGATTGATTAAAATTTTTCGTTTTCAGTTTGGATTGATCCCAATGTTTTGTTTTTTGTTTTAGCTGTGATTGATCCAAAATTTTAGTTTTTTTAGTTTGGATTGATCCAAATCTTTCTTTTTCAGTTTGGATCGATCTGAAGTTTTCAGATCTACTGTATTCAAATCTATTTGGATGGAGTTTATTATGTTGTTAAATCTAACAATTGAACAAAAACTGTGTGGGGTCCCCCCTGAAATTCCTACCAGACCCTTTAGGTCTGGTGGGAATGTTAGTTGCTATGTCCACACCCGACGTACACCAACTGCAAGTGATAGCTCTCTTCCTGAATGTAATCAAAGGGGTGTAGGAAAGTCACTGGATCAACACAAGGGCACATAGATTGAGGTGCTGCATTTTTACGCAGTGTGATGTACTTTACTGCATGCTGAAACACTGCAGCTCATCACAACATGTTGTGCATAGAATTGAATAAAATATAATTTTGTGAAAATTTCAGTGACGAAAAAAAATGTAACAATGCATCGCACCACCCTTCACTATGCACTTTAGTATAGAGCACAACAAGTGCAGGCAGGTGTGAATCAGCCCTTAAAGAAGTGACAATCTTAATGAAAGTGGAAGAAAAAGGGAATTTCAAATCATCATTGGGTAGCAACACAGAATTACCTCATTTGATCGGTAACCCCAAAGAATGAGCATAGGTGAATATTACAGTCAAGACAATTTCTAAAGAATGACCAGCATCTCCCAAAAACTAAAGAACATCCTTAGCATATAAGGTTATGTTTTCTTTTACAGAGCTTTAGTTTAAATCCATTATTATCTGAAAAATATCTAATCATAGCTGTCATTGGCTCAATAGCTATTGGAAATAATAAAAGGGGACAAAGGACTCCCTATACAGGTGCCAAACTGTAATTAAAAGGCCTATTCACTAAAAGGTGAAGAGTTTGGAGAAGGCAGGAGACATGAACTGCGAATTCTTCACCCTATAGTGAGTAGTCCTGTAAATTTTAAAATATTAAAATTTAGTTGGGTCTTTTAAAAAGGTGATTTGGGGCTCCACAGGGCTAACTGTTGCATGACAAGTACACTATGTTTTCCAAAGAGCAATCCATCATTTAGCACCAAGACATTTCAGTTCTTTCTTGCACTAAACCTTCACTCTGGTGTTTCCTTATTTCCCCAGTACAAGAAGTGTTACTGTGAAATGACCATCAGGATGAACCTTTTCTTGTCTCTGCAACTATCATCAATATTTCTACTTCTTTTTCTTGATGGACGTGAGTATATTTTTATTATAGTTATTGTTAAAGTATTCATCTGCTAATGAATACCAGAGGTTAAGAAGACGTTAAAAGGACATTAAATCTTCACTTTTTTTTTATGTTATGGAGCCAGACTTATTTAAACTGCCTTTTGTTTCTTCTTTCAACTGTTTTATTTCCTTGATTTCTAGGTTGTCCCCAAACCACTAGCCACCACACCTCCCCCCACCACCTGTGTGCAGATGTCTTCATCACCTAGCCAGCTGCTGAGGAGACACCCATGCGTGCGTGTTTCCCCACCTGCTCCCACAGTCACAGTTTGATGGACAGCACAAGGAATAAATTGCTGAGTTTGTTAATAAAACCCAGAACATCTTCTGTTTGTAAATGTACCAATACATAACACAGAATTATTGCAGGTTATTCTTTAAGAAAGGCTATCTAAAAGGATATGTGTACTTTTAGCACAGTTATACTTTAAATAATGCCCTCCCAATAGCAACTGCATCAAATCCGATACTTAGCTGTCTACGGTCCTTGTAAATCTTCAGTATGTAGCCCCTCGTACCTGCAAATCCTCCTTACAAAAACGTCACCCAGCATGGCCTTGCATGCTCAGTAGAATGTCCATTCATTTCTATTGAAAGGCCATCATCATTAGTCCAAATAAGTAGAGTCTTCCATTAAAGTCATAATGGGTAAAAGTAGACACAAAATATTTACCTTTTTTGCAGAAAAATCCAGAACAATGGAGCTCTTAAATTCATGGTGACTGTTTATGAGGTTCCATATTTGACAATGTCAAATCTGCAAGAGGGGCAGGGTTTCTATTTTTCCAGCCGCTAACTAAATGTACTTTGTAAATGTACAAACATTCTGTTTGCAAGTGTACCTACTCATTTTTGGAGTCTTAGTCACTTTACTTATTTCGCTGTTTTTTTAATTCACATTATAGAAATTTGTGTGGAAATTGTTGGGGGGAGAGAGGCAAAACCCCATTCGCGACCTTACATGGTATATATAAAACAGAGAATGAGTTTCTGTGGAGGAATGCTGGTTACCCCAGACTGGGTCTTAACTGCAGCACACTGTAACATGTAAGTACATCAGCTGTGGCATATGGGTGTTAGTTATATTTTTACATGAATCACTGAGATCTTGGGGAATGTTAAATTAAATTTTACTTTCTTAGAAGAACATTACATCAGATCTCAGTGCTTCATCTAAATACAAAACCAACAGCTTATGGGCCCAGGCACTAAACAGAACACTGCAAGTCAACAAGTGTCGCACCCAAGCAACTGAAAGATAGCAAGCTGTTCAGATAGGAAGTTTGCGATCACAAAGCTCATTAATACCAACAATGAGTACATCTACTCCCCACTTTTCACAATGCTTGATCTTTTCACTACTGCATCTATCAGTTGTTGCAAGGGGAGGAAGACTAGAGTTGGATTAGATTCACCCTAGTTAAAGTGTCTCCAACATGAGAAAAATATGACGGCTGACATTGCTGACATCTTTTTGGAATTGCTAATTGCCTGCCTGGCTTCAATATTTTGATTTACAGACCCAAAACAAGCATATTGTTAATGAGTGTAAGAATGTCATACCTTTATATTTGTTCTAAGTCAGAGATTCAGAAAACACTAAGCCAAAGCATCAGCATGGCAGCCAATGGTACTGTACATCTTTTTTCAGGGCAGGGCAGGCAAAGCCAACAATGAGGCTTACATTAAATTCCTTTTTTCCCCTATAGGGTTTTTACAAATTTTTTATTAGAAAAGCAGATCTTGCTTCTTTAGTGCAGGGCCTACTTTAAAGGAAATTTATAATATTATGTATGCTTTATTATTCTGCATATTTTGCCTTTTGTTATTCTTTTCAAGACTTATTAAATTGAGAAAAATATGTTTCTTTCTTTGTTAAAAGCTTATTTGTAAAATAAATATTTTATATCTGTAGTACCCCCTGAACCCCAGTGGTCAGAGAGGGCTGACATTTCACTCTCAGGGGCAGATCATTAGCCGGTGAAGGGACATGTGATCAAGAAAGCTGAGTGCCAGTCACTTTAAGTGCCTTTTTAAATGCTTTATTGCAGAACATCAACTAGGAGAGAGGGTATAGGGCTTAGGACATACAAAGTAAAAATAGAACAATCTCCAGGCTCCTCAACCCTTTCAGACTTTCAAAGTACAGAATCAATAGCAGAACAGGGGCAATAGAGCAACAGCTGAACAGGGATGGGCATGAGATCTTTCCTAAGAGAGAGAGGTCAGACTTACTCCTGAGGTTCACATCAGCATCAGGCACCTCTAGTAGTCTTAAAGCGTCTCTGGTTTTCTTCCTCAAATCAGTTCCTGACCTCTCCAAGGTCCACATGTGTGGCCTCCTCCTGGCTAGAGGCCTAGTCAGCATTTCCATCTTTGTGCATCCCACACCCAGGCTAAGCCTGAGGCAGGCTGGAACTGGAACTGAGCACATGGCAATCCCCTGAGTATTTATGCACTCTGCCAGGATGCACCACTAGCCATGAAAATACTAGTGATTGGCTGGAGAGGCATAGACACTCAAAATGTTCTCTCATTGGCTGCCCCACACTGCAGCAGGGTCACACCCCACTCAGGCAGGTACAATCAACAACAGAATACCTGGAATTAACCAGATAATAGCCAACTATGAATCAGCTAGACTGATTACAGCTCTAGCCACAGTACATTTCTAGTAGCCACTCCACAAAAGGTTGTAGGGGCTACAGCTACATAATACAAACAGATATAAAGCTTCAGTTTGAAAAGTTGTAAGCTTAAAAAAAAATAAATACAATTGTTCCCATACCATTAATGTTTCCCTTTAACTCAAGAAGCCACATGGATAAAGCTGCCTATATACTGTAATATTTAATTTGTTCAACCCGCTGACTGAATTAAGAAAATATAACAGTTTCCTCGATAAATTCTTAATTGATTTGTGTTGATCGAGAAATCGCCCAATGTTTGCATTGTATTCTGACAGCGGCTGATGGCTACCGTCACAATAGCCAAACAGAGCTCATTGGCTGCTGGCTCTGTTCGTTCGAAGATTTTCCAACCGACTCCTTCGATCAGCTGATTATGGGATGCCGTCTGAAAGGGTGCCAACAGCAGCACCCGCTGTGTGAATTTCGGCCAGTTCATCAAGAACCATCCAAAATTTGTGCAGAGTATGGCCAATTTAAATTGTACAAAATCTTGAAAGAATTTTTAATAAGTGAATTCCTGTTACATATCACATTATCTGAAAAACCTTCATATATTTTTTTCCCCACAGTAATTATACAGCAAAAATTATACTTGGTGCCCATTCGATTTCTGGTGTAGAAAAGGAAAAACAGTTTCGAAAAATCAGAAAAGTGATTACACATGAGCGTTATAAGAAAGGATCACTCAACTATGATGTTGCGCTTCTGAAGGTAAAAATAATGCTGCACTCTTCTAGTGTTTAAGTGGTCTATAGCGTATTATCAACAATAGTAATGAGCATATTTGGTAATATGAACACTAATGCAGGAGAACGCATTGAGAAACTTATGGGATTGGATTTCTCAGTTTCTTGTTTCAAGAGATTGATAGGTTACAGTAAACTGTCAATCCTGTCAACTTATTAAAAAAACCTTTGGAGACTGTTGACATTATTTTTCCATTTACACAATAGCCATCTGCATGCAGTTCAAGCCGCATTAGTTACCAGAAACAAAATTATTAAAAGCTTTTAAAGCCAAATATATGTCTGCCGATGCCTGTACTGCCGATGCCGTATATTTGAATAATTACCCAATTCTTCCTGTACACTGCTTTTACCTAATTGGGTTTAAGTCACTCTAAGCCCCAAAACATGAATGTAATATATTGCAGCTTTGACGAGGTGGCTGCAATACTTCTCCTTTTTCAAGCTTATCCTGCAAATAACACACTTATTTCTTTCCTACAGTGGCTAAACTTACTCCACTATATCTATGAAGGAAGCCACCTAGGTTGGACATCAAACATCAGTCCTTTTTTCATCTCCATTACATGGTGGGTGGTGGGAGTAGTAGTAGTAGTTTACAGAAGAAAGACACAATTGTTTGTGCCTATAGAAGTAGCACTACTTTGTAAATTTTTCTGTGAATGAGTAACTAGGGGTACAATGTACCCCTTACATATTCCCATACAGGGAAAACTGGATATCTGGAGGCCCCCTTATAATAATGGAGCTTATAGATTCTGATATGGCCCTTGTCCCCATCAGCGTCCTCATCAAGGATAAGGGCCTAGTGTAGACCTTTAGGGGGAACCCCACGTCGTTTATTTACAAACAAAACTTATTGCCCAGGAAATGTACAGTGCCACATTAAGTGCAGATTTAAGGTATCCCCAAGCATGTTGTTTAAATTAATTGTGTATTTTTAATGATGCCCTTTAAGCCTTGCTGCCCGCTAAATGGTATTCTTACAAACATTTCTTTGCATTAAGTAAGTTTCCCATGGCAGTGCCAAGCTAAGCATGCCTTTTTTGTTTCAAAAGCTTGAAAACTGGCCTTGGAAAAAGTCGATAGGCATTAGGTTAACTATATGCCTTTTGTAGAACCACACCCATTTTAAAATGAATCTCTCCCCCTACAAGACATGTGATTCATTCCGAATTGAAATTCGTACAAATTTTTGGAAATTTGGATGCATCCTAATTTCCGAATGAAAGATAATGTATCCAAACTTATCTGAATTTTCCAATAACGAAATTCTGATGCATCTTAAATTTTTCCAAATTTCATTCATAATTAACTTTTGTTGTTAAATGTTAAAACAAACAAAAAAAACCAGCATGGAGTCCCCTCTCCAACTCATACCAGTCCCTGTAGGAATTTTAGGGTGGACCTAAATGCATGGGGTCCCCTCTAAAAACCCTTATCAGCTCCTTGATCCTGGCATTAGGAAAGGGGGGGCAAGCGTGTGCGTGCAAAACACAAAAATTCCCCAGCCTCAGCCTGCCAGCCAGCCTGCAACCAAACAAGTAGCCCTGTCAACAGTATGCGTTAAAATCAGAGGTTTTAGTTGCACAAACTTTTGGCCAAAAATATGTAGAAGCCACACTGCCGCGCCAAGGCACCTCTGCAAAGTGTAGTCCTAACTCTATGTATCCGAGTCTCCAAGTGTGAGCATATTAATGAAGTTGATAAATTACATGCAGGTGTACCTGGAGGCAGCCAACTCCTCCTAATAAGGTGCAGGGACGCACTGGAGGCCCAGCAACCAAAAATGCACGCTGGGACTCCAGTGCGTCCCCCTAACCCAAAATAGTAAAACTAGAAAAAAATGGTACATGCATGAATCTATAACCGGCCTTTATAGCAGGGCGCACATTGGGAAGGCTTACAACAATACAAAACACAAAAATTCCCCAGCCTCAGCCTGCCAGCCAGCCTGCAACCAAACAAGTAGCCAAGCCTGCAACCAAACAAGTAGCGTGTGCGTGCCCCCGCCCCTCTGCACCTTACTAAGCCACATGTCAGTATCCAGCAATACTTCCTGAAGAAGAAAATGGATCAAGTTACTCAGTGGATCTCACTGACAGTTGCCAACGAACTTCCCCCAGAAGTGGTCGGGATTACCTGGATGAAAGTAAACTGTGGGGGCAGGACCTTGGCCAAAAGGGTGTGGTGGTCACACAAGTATCCGGAAGAGGAGGACAGCAGGTGATATTGGGCATGAATATTATCCAGGGGGTGAGCCCTGAGCTGTTGAAATTATGCCCTACACACCTGGGGCCACCTAAAGAAGTGAGAAAGCAGCTTCATGCCTTGGAAGTACTAAAGGACTCTGACGCAAGTACAGCAAACATCAAGGAAAAACTTGGTATTGTAAAGTCTCCTGCTCAAATGTGAGATCGAAAATCTAGGACATGCCATCTCAAAACAAGGTGTGCTCCACAACCCACAGAAAATCAAGGTCATACGGGAGTGGAAGGTCCCAACAACTGTGACTGAGGTTAGATCCTTCCTAGGGTTAGCAGGGTACTATCGATGTTTCATCAAGCACTAGACCCATCACTCATGATAACAATAACTTGACACAATTAGAAAAAATACAAAATTAGTCCAACTCAGCTAGATTTCATTCAGGATCAATTATTCCTTTAAAAAGCCCTACTTATTGACTGAACCATCATTTAGCACAACTGATTTTTAAAAGATGCAGCTCTTCTTTCACACTAACAAGGACATAATAGCCACACAAGACACACAGAGAAAGGTGAAAAGGCTAAAAGACACATTTTGCCCTCTGGGTTTTATATTCCAAATATCGCTTTATGCAGTCAACATACCCCCTGAGATGCAATATAGACAGTATAGCAACTCAGTGACTAAACAAAATCTATAGGACAGCAATAACGTTGCGTATGACAAAAGTTTAAAAAGATAAAGTTAAAGGAAATACATTAAAAAAAAAAAGAAAAAATATATTTTTAAAGCCCCCACGTACACGCCCATATGAACATAAACACATGCATTGCATGCATCTACTGTACATATGAAAACAATGATGTCACACATGTTGGATATCACCATGCGCTCCTGAGTGAGAGCAGTAACTCTAGGGCTGTCATTCATGGTTAAATGACACTAAACCCAGAAGGTAAATCTTACAAATGCATTCAAGTACCTGAACTATTCACACAAATGTATATTATTTGTGTATCACTCGGCTGGAGATCCTCAAATCATCTCTGAATTGGTGCTGACACTGTCCTTCCTTCTGGAGGGTGGCTACTTTTGTTCCCCATTGTCCCTGTGTGTGTTGCAAAGTAGCCACCACTCCAAGCTCACTCCCGTGTTGGACTACAAACTAAAATGTAGTTTACTATTTTGTATTGAGATTGTAGTCCATTTTTAACATTTAACTCCTGAGTTTAGTGTCACTTCAAAGTAGTATTAAAGGCTGTGTGTTTTTTGCAAAATGCATTGTCTGCATCAAGGCAAAAAACACTCATAATTTTTCTGACAGCCCTGTCCCATCCAAGCTTACCTGCAGCCACTCGTCTCCTCCACCACCACTGGGTTTCCCTGAACTTCCTGGTTGCAGGGAAGGGTACAGAGGGCAGAGGAGCCATAGGCAAGTTATGACTGCAATGGTGGTAGTGTGGCCAGCCTTGCGCTGTGTGTGTCTATGGATGCACACAGCTAGGTGCAACCACAGCAGTGGCACCCGTACAAGGAGGTGGCTGGCTTGCGGTCTGGATACCACTTGAGAACGAGGAAATACAAAAACAATTAAGGATAAAAATAACTTTTTTTGTCAGCCATCATTAAAAAGAAAATTAAAACAAAAAATGGAGGTTTGTTACTTTAACTCTAAATTCATGACCTATACAGGCTTTTAAAGCCTTGCCTATGGACAGTTTGGGATACGAAGGTTTTTTCACTGTTTCAAGGGTTGTCACATACCTGGTAACAGACCGGAGGGCGAGGAGGTTTCTCTTGCAGCTCGTGTCCCTCTGTCCCTGGAGGTGCGGACAGGGAGCAGACAGAGACAGACAGACAGGAGCAGGGGCGTAACTAGAAATCACAGGGCCCCATAGCAAAATTTTGTATGAGGCCCCGTGATTGCTAGTTATGCCACTTGCAGAGCCCACCATAGACTCTCTATGGTCGGCTCTGCAAGGTCTCAGTTGCGCTGTACGCTTCTTACCTGTCACCTCCGTGGCCGCCGCCGCCAGGCCCCTGCTTCCTCTTCCGTTCCCGGGCTCCGCCTCCTTCTATTGACGGGCCCCGCCTCCTCTTACATCACTGGCCCCACCTGCTCTTAGATCGCTGGCCAGTGATGTGAGAGGAGGCGGGGTTGCTGTTAGGCGGGCCCCGCCTCCTTTACTGCAAATTCCGGTGATCGATCAAAAGTTCGAACTTATCGAGTTCTGGGACCGGAAGTCATGCGGTCCCACAACTCGATAAGTTTGGACTATCGATAGAACACCGGTGTAACCGGCCTATTCTGCCGCATCTGCTGGCTGTCACTGACACAGCTCTGCAGCGGCTGTGAGTGGGAACGTTTTCCTTCACAGCAGCTGCTGAGCTATGTCAGTGACAGCCAGCACCCGAGACGCCATAGCGACCCACACGGCATCAGAGGGCCGCCTGGGTCGCTATGGCGATTGTTACGCCACTGGCGAGGAGCACGAGTGCCACTGATGGAAACCGACACTGTGCAGGTGATGTCCAGAGGTCCTCTGAGCAGATGGTTTGCAGTCAGGGACAGGAGACTGGAGCAAGGTCAGGAAAGCCAAAGGTCAGAGTCAGCCGGGCAGCAGGGTACACAAGCATGGTACACAATCATGAGGCAGAAGCGAAGTCCAGAAACAGGCCGAGGTCAGGGGCAAGCAGCAGTCCAAGTAACAAAGTCCAAGAACAAGCTGGGTCACAGGAAACTAGTAGGAGCAGGCACAGGGAACACCAGCTGAAAAGACCATCAGCAATGAAGCAGGGGCGGGCTCATCTTGATATGGAGAGCTCAATCCAGGATGCAGCAACCCTTCCTGTGCGATGGCTGCTGCGCGAGTTTCCGCGCACTTTCGGTTTCCACGCGCCTGCTCACAATGATAGGTTTTCCGGCCACGTGGAAATTCGGCGTGCGCGCATGTACAGCTGCCCTGCGAGGATTCGGCTTGTGCACATGCGCCGCTGCCATCTTGCCCTTACACAGGTGCATGTAATTGTGAAGATTGTTATATTTGTAATCTATTCATTCAGCGTAACCTCACCTTTTATATTTTACAACAACAAAAAATTGGGAATTATGTTTGTGTGCACTAAAATTATTTGAATAAATTTTTTACTGAATACTAATTTAGCTTTTTATGTTTAGCTTTGCCCCAAAACAACGGCTTGGGGCATATACATGGGGGTGACATTGGTAAGGTTTAACGCTTTTTCCTGTGCATAGAAGTGATTTTTATTATTGTTACATTTTTTATTCAGTTATCTGACAAAGCAGATATTACATATGCAGTGAAAGCTCTGCCATTGCCTGAGAGATGTGATGAGCCAGTGAAAGGAACCATTTGTGAAGTCGCTGGATGGGGTGTCACAGATAACAAAAAACCATCAGATAAACTCAGGGAGGCAAATGTTACCATAATGGACAGAACAGCCTGCAAAAAGTATTGGCAAGGACAAATAACTGAAAACATGATTTGTACCAGTGAAAAAAGCAAAACAGAAACCTGTGCGGTATGTATAAAAGCAACTCTCCACAATGATAATCAGAAAACTCATGATGCAACTTCTAGCAGCACTCCAGCCAAAAATAACGAGACACAAATGAATAGGACTTGGGGTCCAAGGTTTTCTTTACTTTTGGATTCCATGGGCTATAGGAGTAAATTTTGCAATTTACTCCTATAAATGCTCCAAAATGCACCCTAAATATACAATTGTTACTTTAAGATGGTGGGCGGGGCTAAGCACAGCAATGGGGAGAGATCCTGACAATACTGTCGGGATCCTCCCAACTGATCATTCGTTACTGTGACTGACGGTGCTCCTTGAGAACTGCTGCACGTCCACGAATACATGGGCATGCGCAGCAGCTCTCTCCCTACCTCCACGTCCCCGTCGTCTGTGCCAGCAAATGGCAGCACGTGCATGGAAGGCTGTTTCTCCTCACTGCCTCCGCCCCTCCTTCCTCTCTCCCCGTCTTGAACTGTGCAGCAGTTGTATGGAAACCTGTTCCCCGTAAATCTTAGTTCCCCCTAGTGTTCAGCTATTACCATATCTCCGCCCCTTCCTAACAGCTGATTAGTATTTACATAGCCCCGCCCCCTCTCGGCAAGCTTCAGTGTTCTATGAGAAAGAGACGAACGATCAGAGCACACAATGTGAGAGGAGATGTTCGTCTCTTTCTCATAGAACACCGGAGCTTGCAGAGGGGGCGGGGCTATGTAAATACTAAGCAGCTGTAAGGAAGGGGCGGGGTTATGGTAGTAGCTGAACGGTCAGGGGGAACTAAGATTTTCGGGGAACAGGTTTCCATACAACTGCTGCAAGCACCTGATTACTGAGACAGAGCAGGTGAAGATCGGTGAAGAGAGAGGGAAATACTGGTAAGAGAGAGGGAAAGAGAAGGGAGGCAGCTTTCTCAGTTGAGACTCTGCCCCCTGCTGCCACATGTCAGCGTGCACACTCCAGCCGTACACAGTGTGCTTGACTAGAAAAAGTGTGGCCACGGCAGATAAGAGTTAGAAAAAAAAAAGCTGAGGGCGGGGCTGCATTCACTGTTAACGCCCCCTAAGAGGAAAGGAGCTTGGAGCATGGCTGCAGGTGGCTGTTTTATGTGACTTGTGATTAATTTATCTGGGATGTGCTGCGACTTTGGAAAAGAAGAATGCTAATAGAGTAAAGGCAAGAAGTACTTTTATTTGCCCTTAGGTCATAATTCTCCTTTAAGCACAGGGAAAGATAGTAATTCAGTGACTGTTCTACTGCCAAACTGTCCTGCCATGGCCACTAAAATCATACCTGAGGGCAGGGCCGGTGCTAGGATTCTAGGCAAGGTAGGCAAGGTGCATTTTTGCGCCCCTATCCCCGACCCCCTGTAAAAACAGGGCATTTTGACAAGTACTTATACTTGTCAAAATGCCCCGATGTTTGCGCTATGTTTTTTTTTTCACTTACCTACGGTGCGGGAGAGCAGCGGCGAGTCAGCGCTGGTCCGGTGGGAGGAGCTCCAGGTGGGGTCCTAATTTAGCTGGCCGGCGACTGCCTGAGGTGCCGCGCGTGTCGGGATCCTCAGGCAGTCGCCGTTTTTTCCGCCCTCACCCTGCAGCGCCGTAAGGTGGCCGCCTGACTTGCCTTGCAGTAGCGCCGGGCCTGCCTGAGGGCTGTAACTCTTTTACACTTTTTACCTGTTAAAATGATGCAGTGTAGTGCTGCAAACAAAGGGAGCTCAGAATTTGTGCCATCATACTGTAGGGTCAATGTTTACTCACAAATATCTGAGGCCTTTAGCTGTAATTTTGTAGAAGAACCCTGTGGCTTCCCTCTCTGCATACAGGCCTGATGAGGCTACAGCTTCTGCCAGTTAAAACAGGGCTAGTGTTGATTGTTGAAAACACACATGTTGCTGCTAAAACAAATAATAGGAGACAAGGGTTCTGCTATCTATAAGCAAAGCTAACCATATATATACCATACATATATGCTGTCTAAATGGCTTTTAGGTCTGGCAGCAAAAGGGGAAAAGGATTTTCCCATGTCACTCACAAAGTCTCCTCTCCCCACTGTTTGTGTTGTTTTTTTTCCAGTCCAGCTCCCCATGCTATTCATTTATTAATAGTTTGCCCAGCAGCCCCCCAAAAGGCCACAATTGTTAATCAAGCAATTTAAAGGTTGAACTTCTGGAGGGGGGCTACTTTTGTTCCCCATGGACCCTGTGTGTGTTGTAAAGTAGTCACCACTCCAAGCTCACTCCCGTGATGGACTACGATCTCAATATAAATTAGTAGACGTGTGCGTTTAGTTTAGTACGTGCGTTAGTTTCGTTTTGTGCGTTTAGTACCGAATCAAATTTTTATGAATTTTCAGAGATTTGGAAATTCGGACACATCCGAATTTCCAAATTTTAATACATCTGAATGCGTCCGAATCTGAATTTCTGTTGCTGGATTTTGGCTCCCATCCAAATTTTGTTCAAAAGCAAAATTGAATCGAACATGTGACTTTTCTGGCCAATCTGATCTGTTTTTTGGTTTAATGCATCTGAATGGGCCTGAAATAAAATATTTTCGTTAAGGCAACATGTGAGCCATATATAT